CTTGCCTTGACATGTTGAATGAGGCGTTGGGGCGAATAGCTCTGCGGCCCGCTCTAGCACATCTTTCCTCGTCAAGCGCTTGTGAAAATAGTCCTTTCGGGTCCCATCGTCATCATCACCTCAAACGAAGTCAAAGCCCGGTGGGCCCTCTCTTGGAGGGCATGGACGTGGCGCACTATGAAGCAAGCCGCCACTAGTTCGCCGTTAATCTCCACGCCTTTGATCAAGTCGAGGAGCTCCCTCACCTGCTCCATGTCATGATTATGTGGCCGTTTTGCATTCTCCGACCAGCTCTACGGCTCCAATGGATGTGGTGGACGTCGCGTCGCGGGCTTGATTGTAGGGTGGCTCGCTTCATGTAGAACCACAGAGTTCCACCTTTAGAGAAGTGTTCAGTGAGGTACATTAATGTACAAAATTGGCCATCCCATCACGGAGTTGCAGGATAGCCGCCGACCACCTTGGACCCACCAACCGCCCTTCTTCTTCAACAAGGTCTATGGAGAATAGGTGTCCAAGAGGTTGAAGTGCTGTGAACCCCTAGATATGTCTCATAGAAATGGATAAAGACCAAGATCTGTAATATGGTGTTTGGGTGGAGATTGCATAGGCTAATCGAAGCGATTAGTAACTCCAGCAGATCTCAAGCAATGGAAAGGATGAACAGGAGGAACCCCAACCCACGCTAGAAATAATCCTCAAACACACTGACTTCATCACTAAATGTTAGGGGCATCAAAGAGAAGGGCTACAGTTTGGCATTGGACAATTGAGTTAAATCCGCCATCCAAGCAACGGTTTCAGTTTGAATGGAAGAATGCCCGCCGCCACCATCTGTTGAGCTCCGCCTTCCCCATCTTCGATGGCACCCATTCCTCGTCGCGGCTGGCTCCGGCGACCGCCTTCTTCGGCCGCAACTCATTTTTTCGGCACCATCCCTCAGATCTGATTAGGGTTTGGTGTGGATGTGAATTGGAAATGCGAGTACTGAGGAGGAAGATGAAATGGCAAAGGGGAAAAGGTATGAGCGCGGGGTGCGGCGGCATAGTTATAAAGCACTTCCCCCACCTCTTCGCATTCGAGGGTTGGGAAACCGTTATCGCGATTCGTGCTTCTCCGAATTCTCCGTAATTGACGGTGGGCCGTTACCTAGGCCTTCGCGCAGCCCCGGCCCATATCGCTGATTTATCCCCGCAATTTGTTACGGTCGCCGAGTATTCGCCGACATCTCCGACAATTGTTACGGCTCAGTAATCCCTATTGTACAGCCATTGCTCCGAGTTTTTTTTTCTCCGCGTTTCTGTTTTTCTCCAGGTCAACTGATGTTTCTGACCCTAGCACCACATGACCACGTCACCTACTGTTGGGCTCGGGGACTAAGTGGGCACACTTCACCTTGCGATGAATGCGCTTTTTCTCATTTCGGGGCTACGCCGGGGACTGGCTGCCTGCTCAGCTGGTCTTCTATTTTTCTTCTACTGTGGACCCTGGCACAACATGACTGCGTCGTCTACTATCAGGCTTGAGGATTAAGTGGGCACACTTCACCTCGTGGTGAATGAGCTTGCTTTATTCTGGAAGACTCCGCGCCTCTTGAAGCTAAAGAGGATAATCTCCTTTTTCTTATGGTCGGACTCTAAGTGGCCATACTTGGTCCACTGTGAAGAAATTTTCGATTCTGAACTTGAGCTCCTTACACCCTTATGGCAAGCCGTACTTGGGATACGCTACTCGGCTATGGTTCACGCTACTCGGCTATGGTTTACGCTGCTCGGCAACTGCTCACAACTGCTCGGTAACTGCTCACAACTGCTCGGTAACTCATCACGGTGGTCGGACCATGAGTTTGATTGCTCGGCTTTGTTCGCACCTGCTCGAACATGCTCAAGACGGCGTTGCACAATGGGTACAAGGCGCTTGGGGACTAGCTGTGGGGGGTACGACCCCGGATACCCACGGCAGACCACATGGGTGGCGCCTCTAGGGGCGATCCAGCCCACAAGATGAAGCCTTGCGGGGCACGACTCTGCTCGGTGCCTCCTGCAAGACACCGGGAAGATATCCTGAAGATACTACGAGATCTGTTAGGATACGTATGATCCCAAAATTTCTGTAATCTGTTATTACTTTCTGATTATCTCTTAGATCTAACCGACTTGTAACCCTGTCCCCCGGACTATATAAGGCGGGCAGGGACCCCCTCCAAACTCACGCAATATCTGTCAAACTCACGATAGCTAATATAAACCAACAGACCACAAGAGTAGGGTATTACGTCATACTGACGGCCTGAACCTGTCTAACTCGTGTGTCTCTGTAGCCTTCTTGTTCTTGATGTCACGCTTCTCTGCCGATCAATCTACCTTCGTGGGATACCCCTCGGAGGACTGCCGACGATATTTTGTCGACAATATATATGAATGCGTTTTAGTTTTGGAAAAAAGCGGGTGTAGAACTTTCCAACACATATGGCTGTTGCCTGTTGGCTTGGCTAGATTTGGATAGGAAAAACGAAGCTTAACATCTTGCATGTGATGAACTTTATTAGCTGGGGTAGAAACAAAGCATACGGGCATACGTCGCTATATATCAATGTCTATGTTTGGTGCAACTCCTGGTCATAAGCATATATATGTGTATACCTAACCTTATGTAACGCGCAACACATTAGTAAACAAACACTTTCGAAATTGCTGGTGTATCTTTAATTTATTATAAAACAATTGTGTAACTCGTATCCGTTAATATAAAATGAATAATGTCATAGATTTCGTGCAATCAATTTACATGCTTTGATCACTGATTATGTCTTTCATTTTTCCCATTCTTGAATCACTTTACTGGCCTAATTGTATAAACTGCAAATAATGCTTTGGTTGTCTCGCTATGGCATCTTAAAATGGATGGTATGCTGTATATATTTACTGAGCTCCGTCGTGGTATCCCGTGATGTTAACCAAAAAAAACTTTACCACCTCTACGACATATATATAGCTCGCCCGAGAGATGAGGATGAACACGTCGCCGGAAAGAGCTTACTGCACGCGTGCGCGCGCACACACTCACACAATCACAGTGGAGAAACTCGAACACAATAAAAGCGACGGCCGAGCACCAGAGGCCTTGTTTGGATATCTCAATTCATGTGTGTTGGAGTGGTTTGATATTGAATTTAGTTTAATTTCCTAGGTCAATCCATCTCAAGCCCTGAAGTAAGTTTGTAGCTATTATTGTTCATTAGTTCACCAACTAGACCACTAAAAACGTAGCGATAGTTCCAAGGTCAAACAATGCTTAAACTAGCTGCGGCTACCATTTCCACTCGGCCTCAAGGCGATTTACTTGTATGTCTAGAGTAAACTGCCACTGTGGGTATGTATGCTAACTTCTATTTGGTGAGGACCAAACTCTTGGCAATAAGTAGTAGTACGAGAAAATTCAACAGTGAGGATATTATATATGAATGCGTTCTAATTTTGGAAAAAGAGGATGTAGAACTTTCCAACACATATGGCTGTTGCCTGTTGGTTTGGCTAGATTTGGACAGGAAAAGCGAAGCTTAACTTGGATCATGCATGTGATGAACTTTATTAGGTGGGCTAGAAATAAAGCATATGGCATACGTCGCTATATATCAATGTCTATGTTTGGTGCAACTCCTGGTCATAAACATATGTGTATACCTAACCTTATGTAACGCCCAACACATTACTAAACAAAAACTATCCAACTCAGTCGCGAAATCGTCGTAAATCATGTTGTAGCTCTCTTTGTATGGGTATGCGTTTAGGTGATTGACAGGTGATCGAGTTTCCATGAAACTTCATAGACTCTGATGTGGGTGAGTGAACAAGAGTAGTATGCTTGGCAACCAAGTTCTGAGCAGCTTCCTTTGTTGTGATATTATGTGATAAACGATGCTGATTATATTCCACGATTAAGGACAATATATGACCAAGATAAGGATATGAGTTAAGAGCATAAGCTATCTTTAGTAATTTATTCCACAAGACCATGACTAGAATATTTATGTTCTTAATGGAAGCGGCATATATCCGGGTTTTTTTAATAAAAAAAAAAGAACTTGACTGGAATGTTAGAAACACACACATGCTAGCATATATATTAGTTACAGTCAGTTCTCTCTTAGCTTAGCTTGTTGCTGAGATCAGTCGTCTTTGATTTGGACATTACCTAGCTAGAGTTAGGTTCATTCTTCCTTGTGTTCTTTCCCACGTACTAGTGGTTAACATGTAACTATGTCTACATCATCAGTCAACAGTAATGTTGGCACCCTATGTATATATCTTGTACAATTTGAATACATATATATGGCCGTCAGGGTTGCGGTGGTCACAAGATCGAGTTCCAAGTCCTAATAAGCTGTGATGCCGTGAGCTAGAAGCCAAAGACGTGTGCTAAGCTATCTAGCAGGCACCCCTACTACTGCAGCGCGTTCCTGCTGTCAGTTTTCAAGTAACATGCATGGATGATATATGCATAGGAAAGCTACGCACACTAATTAAGCTAGTGCACATTATTTCATTAGCTAGCTAGACAGTACTATACATATAAACGACTAGCTTGCTCACTAAGTTGCCACTTAGGCACTTACTAATAAAGCAGGATTATTCCTTGCTTGGCAAGGTACTGTATAGTATTATATCATCGAAGTACCGACCTTAACGGAGTAATTCATTACAGTAATATATAAAGCAATTGCAGATAAAATAAGAAAACGAAAAAGAAACCGACAAATAGCGACGTTATCGTTAGCTTCTCTCTCGCCGCGCACTGCTGGTAATACACGGACTGGACACTGATTACGTTGGAGTCGTGGACACGACACGGCATGCAACGCGTGATGTGCGTCATCGTCTCGTCTAGTCTAGACCGCGTGAAGCAACTGGCCATATATATAGCCCAACCATGCATGCAACTTCAGTCCATGCCTGCCACACACATATATCCGAGCACGCACAACTTCTGTGAGCAGCAGAATGAAGCGTGGCAGAGATGACGACGACGACGACGCCACCAGCGGCAGCGCCATGGGAAACGACAATCATCGTATCCAGGCCGCCGCCGCTCACCAAGCAGCTTCTGGCACGGCGCCGCCACCAGTCAAGCGTCGTCGCCGCCGCCGGGGCCAGGACGACGCGTTCGAGTGCCAGACGTGCGGGCGGCGGTTCCCGACGTTCCAGGCGCTGGGCGGCCACCGGACCAGCCACCTCAGGCGGCCGGCGATGACCAAGAAGCAGCCGCGGTCGTCGTCAAAGGCGGTGCTGGTCCACGCGTGCGCCATGTGTGGGCTGGGCTTCTCCACAGGCCAGGCCAGGCCCTTGGTGGGCACATTGAGGAGGCACCGCCTGGGCCGGGCTGACAGCATGGCCGGTTTTCCTTCTGCTGATCTGGACCTTACGCAGATCATCGTGCACGGAAGGCCCACTTCCGCTTCCTCCTCCCTGCAGCTTCTCAACCTGTTCGTGTAGTGTAGATACAACATGTCTCTAGTCTACTCTAGATGACCTGATCAGTTCAGTTTATTGTAACTGATAAGGTATGTAAGGTTGGTCTAATAAACAGTAAAAAAGGTACTAGTAGATTATTTTATGCTTGATGCTAGGTGTATATAATATCAGTATAATAATAATTCTACATACCTAGAGAGGTTCGATACCTGAGGCAACTTCCTCGTTTGTAGATGTTCATAACTCAAAACAAAGGGATACGCTTTATTTGCTACGCTTTTGAAAGCGTGGCTTCATCTGGAGTAGTTAGAGCGCTAGACACGTTTGTTGGCACGTTTTAAGAAAAACATGTCTACGCCTCCACAGGTTCAGTGCTAGACACGTTTGCTTGAATGACCATTTCGCTGATGACTGCATAAGATGATTGAACACCTCTTGTTTTTTACCTCCACTAGTAGTATTTTGAAGCAAATTAAGTAATGTTTCCAGATGTAGGAGTCACCTGTAGGGGCTTCAAAACACTTGCCTACTTGTGTTCCCTTTTTTGTCTCTCATTTTATACTAAGAACTGAGATTGATTCTTGTAACAGAAAGGCATTTGAAGAGGCGAAATCATAAGCTTTAGCTAGACAAGCAAGTACGTTTTTGGGTTTCGGATGGCATGCTGTTAAATTGAAAAAGGAACTGAAGCCAACGAGTTTCTAGCTAATGACACGGCAACTGGTGAGTGTATTGTTAGAAGTTGAGCAATGATGTGCAGCTCGGCTGACATGACAACCACATTGGTACTGGTGTGCATATTTTTTTAATTGAATATATGTGTATATGTTGGGTTGTTGGGATAGCTAGTGACAGCATACCAATTCTATTTCTCATATTCAGAGTCTATAATGTAAGTTCAAATTATGCTGTTTGTGGCTGCATATTGTTGCTTTCAAATGGTGTTTGGCAGGATGCTTCAGAAGTGCTTGGTCTTATGATTTTTGACATGTGAACAACTTACGGAAAGCTAAAAGTGACATATCCCATCTGTTTCTCAGGTAAGTCACTGCATATTAATGTATCAAAGATGTATGGTATCCTGATCAATAAAACACTCCTATCATTTGTAAGCAATGTAGCATTATAATATATATATATATATATATATATATATATATATATATATATATATATATCACAGACCATTGTTCTTGTCGGTGTGAATATCTAATCCTAGAGCAGAGTAGTTAACAACTAATATAAGCATTGTATTATTTCATTAAGATACTAGAGAATCTGCATGCTTTATGATGTCACAACCGTCGGGAAAAAAATCTTTTCTTCTATCTCCATCTAAGACCCTTTTTTTCTAAATTCATAACAAATATTTGTGTGCTGTTATAGTTTTAGCAATTATATTGAATGCATTATTTATTTAATCTACAAGATCATAGAAGCATGTCAAGGAAATATGTTGAATGAAGAAGCGAAGATTGAGAATGGAAGTGAAATCATTTTTAAATATACTAGAACCCAATGTGTTAGTGTCACGGGTTCGTTGCCGTGGCAAGCATCGTTGTTCGTCGGGTGTCACTGAGTGTGGGTCTCCGGTGGCTCGGGTGGATTTAAGAACACAAGAGAAGACATGATGATGTATCCTGGTTCAGGCTATCGGAGCCCTACGTCCAGCAGTGGTTGTTCTTGTCAGTGTGAATATCTAATCCTAGAGCAGAGTAGTTAACAACTAATATAAGCATTGTATTATTTCATTAATATACTAGAGAATCTGCATGCTTTATGATGTCACAACCGCCGGGAAAAAAAATCTTTACTTCTATCTCCAGCTAAGACCCTTTTTTCTAAATTCAAAAAAAATATTTGTGTGCTGTTATAGTTTTAGCAATTATATTGAATGCATTATTTATTTAATCTGCAGGATCATAGAAGCATGTCAAGGAAATATGTTGAATGAAGAAGCGAAGACTGAGAATGGAAGTGAAACCATTTTTAAATATACTAGAACCCAATGTTAGTGTCACGGGTTCGTTGCCGCGGCAAGCATCGTTGTTCGTCGGGTGTCAGTGAGTGTGGGTCTCCGGTGGCTCAGGTGGACTCAAGAACACAAGAGAAGACATTGCGATATATCCTGGTTCAGGCTATCGGAGCCCTACGTCCAGCGGTGGTTGTTCTTTGTATTCGAGAGCACCCAAATCGGGGGTTACAACAAAAGAGAAAGAGATTTGGCAGGGGATCGCTAGATGCTATTCTATCGCTTGTCGATGGTGAGGATTCTTCCCTGGTGAGGGAGGGGAACGCTCCTCTCTCGTTGGGTTGCCGATGGGAGGAACGCTCCGCCATTCCTTTCTGTTGAGGGGAGAGCTCGGAATGCTCTGCCGGTCGAGTCTGTGTGCGTCTGTTCGACCTCTCCCCTCCAGGTGCCGACCTTCTCCCTTATATTTCGAGGGAGGTCGGGTACAAGGAGGTTTGGGGGTTAAGTCTGTAGTCTTCATGCGCTGGAGTACAGGAGGGCGCTGCCGCGGTGTGTATAGACCCTAGCGTTGTCATGGAGTCGGGGGAGCCTCGGGCGCTGCCTAACACCACTAGTCCTGACGCTCCGACCATCAGGGGCTGTCTACTGCCATTTCGGCCTCCACCAGGTGAGCCTTCTCGCGGCTTCCTTGGTGGCAAAGGCGCGTCGGCTCGGGGGCTGACGAGCGGGCCTGGGAGCCCCACGTCCCTGAAGCCGGCGGGACGATTCGTCGTGTTGTGTCACGCCATCTTCATGACATTGTCGGGGGAGCATCCGGCAGCGCCTCATGCCCGTCGGGCGGGCGAGCCGCCGGTCGGGAGCCCGAGGCCCTAGCGGGCCCCAAGCCTCTGGCAAAGGCTGTGAGCGTGCTCGGGCTCTGCCTGAGCCTTGATCGGAGGGTACGCGCGAGCGTACCCGATGGATATAACCCCCGAGCGACCTAGGAGGGGTCAGTCGGGGGGTCTCTCGGTCGGGAGTCTATCTCCCTGAGACTTGACATACCCCTATGTTTGACTCTCGTTGGTTAGATTTGAGCAAATATGTATATATGGAATGATTAATTTACCTTCTGACTCTGTTTGCTCTAATATTAAATGAGTACATCTCATAAGGTTTTTCAATCTTTCCGTGTATTATGGTGTCCAAAATAATCAGGTTATGCCTGTATTAAAATAGTTTCATAAACTATATTAGCAATAAGAAAAATGACAAAAAACCTAAGAGTGTATGAACTTTGCTTGACACAAAGTTCAACTTTGCTTGACATGAAATTTAAAATGTCTTTATAAGCCTTAGATATGCAATTCACTGTTCCTAGAAAGTATCTCATGTCGTGTAGACACGTTTGGCAACATCTCTAGAAAGCATCTCTTGTCTTGTAGACACGCTTGGCAACATCTCTAGAAAGCGTCTCTTATCTTCTAGATACACTTGATAAAACGTATCTACAGTTTCTAACACGTTCTGCGTGGAGACACTTCAGACATGCTTTAGTAAAGCGTGTCTTTACTACACTAGTGATGAAATAAAGTGTATCTAACCAAGAAATAAAATGTATCTAGAGGGGAGTTGTTGCTGTGGGTCGAGAACGAAAATTGCATCATGGTCTCACAACCCGAACCTCAAGACAGTGGGTGTGGATATGGTGAACAATTGTATTGCGCTACCAGCTTTAGGAGCCTCTTGGGGGATTCTGATTGCCGCATTAGAGCGCCTTTTCAGTTTACAACATCTACAAACTACATCCAATACAATCTCGGCAAACATCACAATGCTAGTAGAAAAATATAACTTGGTCTCTAACCGGTGTGTATGGCCCTCAAGCAAATGCGGATAAGATTATATTCATGCAAGAGATTGCAAATCTAAAGCAAAACATGCTTCCAGCTTGTCTTATCCTTGGAGATTTTAATTTAATATACCATGCATAGGACAAGAACAACAGTCGAATTAACCAGACAATGCTCAATAGCTTCAAAAGTTCAATTGACAACCTCCAACTTGCACCAATCGAGCTACAAAGGAAAAATATACCTGGTGCAATGATAAGACAAGTTGTTGATCATCTGTTTGCAATGCCAGAATGGATCGCTCTCTTCCCGAGATCAGACCTCCAAGCCATTGCTTGTCTTGGCTTAGATCTGTTGACGCCGAATTGACATCTAGATCACACACCAGCAAGTGCTAGCACGCCCGTGGTTACAAACAACCTTGATTGTCGTAAGAACACATCAGATCGACGAAACCGACCGAGGGTTCGGTCAGGCCGATGTTGAGCCCGTTCTTCGCCTAGTAAACTCCCGAATGTCTTCCGGGAAGACCCATCGGGGAAGAGCACATAGAGGTTCCTCTAGGGTCAGCAAGGCCACCTAGAACACAACCAAATCTCACCAGGAGACTTGACGAATAGCAAGGTAGAGAGAAAGGAGGGTATGTGTTGTGTTTTTGACTATTCGAAGTTGGAATACTCAATCGGCCATGATCTTGTCTTATATATAGAGGGGGTGGTCTTATTTTAGTAGGAACCAATCCCAAAATGTGTTCTCCAAGTTTCCGACGTCAAAAAAGGTTACAAAACCGATTTGGAAACCAAAACGGCTTAGACTCAGTAGGAAACCCAGCTAAGCTGGTTTCTGCGGGCTTCCTAGCACTAGGCTAAGCCAGAACAAGGGCAGTCGGCTAAACCAACTTGGGAGCCAGCTTAGGCGACTTTGTGCAGAGGAGCCGGCTGGCGAGACATTCGAGCCAGCTTGGTTAGGCCAGACGCCATCTTCCTTCTCCTTCACTTGTTTCTTCGTTGCTTGTCACGCAAAATATTTTCTAACACCCTTTTAATGTTTGAAACTCACTAGCACAGCCAATTCACACGTTGGCACACTTTTGGGTGTCAACAGTTATCCAACTTCTACACAAAAAGAAGCACCTGGCCTTGTTCATCAAACTTGATATCTCTAAGGCGTTTGACTCGATTGGATAGAGTTTCTTGCTAGAAGTTCCCAAGGCATTGCGG